GGGCCTGGGGCACTTTGCAGCAATGTGCAATCACAAAGGCACCACATCTCACTAAAGTATTTGCTTAAGATTTCTCTTTGGTGGTATCGCACCACTGCAAACAGAGAGGCAAAGCAACATTAAGCTGATTTTCCCTCCCTTCCAAAGAAGAGCCCCACATATTTGCAGACAAGTATGCACATGCCCCCTGGATATTCTCAGCCCCCAAAGATTCCAGCCTGACTTGCCTGGCTTGCTCTGGACCACTTGGCATGTGATAGCAGCCGCACACATTTGGCAGAGACATTTTTAGAAACTTCCACGCTATGAATTCACCCTTCCATTTTCGTAAAGCCAGTTATGTGGAAAGCATTCAAAAGCAGAACTTCAAATACACACTTCGTTTCCCCTCAATTCTTGGAGAGGGAATTAAATATTATTACACTCAGAGAGTTACTCTGTAACATTTCTGTATTTGCTGACACTATAACCAATAATTAAATAATAATAAGTCAAATCAGTCTTTTCAGCACAGCTACCCCATATTATAAAACTATTTCCAATTCTCTCCCTTAGGTCTGTGTTTTATTGCAATCACTAAAAGGTGACTTGACCTGAAAATATACATTTAAATAAATGCCTAGGAAGTGACCTTCATGCTGCACACTGCAGGGAGATGCCAACAACCCCAGCTACAGCAAAACAGGTACCTGACGGGCACCTGCTCCTGTCCATGGGCATTCCACCGTAGCCATATAGGATCAGGATCGCATCTGCATCCACAGCACACTGACCATGCTCTAAATATCCGACAGTGCTGCCTTGCTCCTGACACACTGAGAATCAACTCCCAGGCATTCTCCCCTTTTCCACAGGTATTCAGAAAAGGCAAAGTGATCTCAGTACTGGACTCCATAGACAGAACCTAACATGGACTCTCACAAAACAGCAAGCTCCTTAATAAATAACCTCCAAATCTGCTGAGGCACCAGAACTGCCCCCTCCTCATCCCCAAGCGGCTTCAGCTGCACAGCAAAACACCAACAGTCCTTTAAATGGCTTCAGCCCCCCTTGCTGGGAGGACACAGGTAATTAACCACCACTCTGCTGATGAGGAGTTCATTAACCCACAGTTTTTTGACTGCTACCAGCTGCCTGTCTCAGCCCCTGAACTCAAGGGCAGGGACATTTCAATCCCTTTTAAAATCTTATAGTAGTTTATTGCTCCTTCTTTTAAAGGAGTGTTATTCTTCAAGGAAAAATACTTTTAGTGCACTTGTTTTGTGATAATGAATGCCACTATCAGCTTGCAGTGACTGCATCTGATACCCACTACCTGGGGGAGAGAGATTGTCCAGGTAACAACCTGGACAGCACTCCTGATTTCACTTGTGCATAACCCCTCTAGCACAGCCCTCAACGTGTCCCCGGAGTCATCTTTCTCTCTCACTCTAAAGTTCCCCCAACACCTTCTGTTTCTGGAGTCCTGGAGCTCCTGGTCTCAGGAGGGCTCCAACACTTGGTCCCCAAGTCATGCCCAAGCCCAAGCATACAGAGGGAGCAGAGGCCATCCTCTTCTCACCATCTCTGATGGGTCTCCTGCACTTGTCAGGGCAAACTTGCAGGGTGAAGCACCTAAGAAAATGCTACTGCGTTTCAAATACATCAGTGTGGTGCCAGTTTTTACACTTCACAGCACAACCGCGTGCGTGCAGCAGAAGCAAGACTCTGAGACACACCATCCTATGCAATTTAAACCCCATCTTCACATTCAGAGGTGGCCACCAAGACCGCTGTGCTGCCCAAAAGACAGAAGATGGGAAGATAAATCCCCCTGCAGACACAGGAGTACTGCACAGGCCCAACTTTCCACACTCTCTGGATAAACATCACATTAGGCAACAAAAGCCAGGCACAAACACCACCTCCTCCCATGGTACTGCTCCCACTCAGTCGTTGAAAAGATCAGATACAAACACCTACCTTCAAGCCAGGAACAAGGTTTGTAGGTGAGGAAGGAGCCAGACACCGTGCTGCAGCCTGGAGGGACAATGTCTGAGCACACCCACTCAGCTGTCCCCAGCTGCAGGCCATGTGGGCTGATTGAGGCATCCCACCCTGCCCAGGAGGGCTCCAAGGCGGGTACCTCCAGCCCCATCTCTGCTCCAGCACCCAACCACCAAGCCAGGGTGTCTATTGAGGGGCCACTTGGGGTGGCTGGCCCCCCATGTTAGAGATAGTGCTTCATCAAATCACCCTTCTTACCCCAAAGAAGAAATAACGCGTATCTTGCTGTCTCCACTCATTATTCCTTTTCAGGTCTGTGGCCCATCAGGAGCCTGGATACTTTTTGGCTGCTTGTGGAAAGAAATGGTTGAAGTACCAAGTGCTGCAGGTCAACCTGTTGCATCTCAGGGAG